TTTTTTTTTTACTGTTTTTTTCTTTTTTGGAAAGAAACTATTTACTTCATCTGATGTTCTTTTTTAAAAAAATGTCTTTCTCGCATGTTTTTTTTTTCCTATTTAAAAATATTTTCTTCTTCTTCCTTTTGCATTGTTTCTTCGTTTCTGATTCCTGTCACCGCCATTCCTCCCATTTGGAGATTGGATCTCTCTTTCTCTCTTCTCCACGTTCAAGACCATTCTTCTGTTGGTCGTAATAGAGTGAGATCCACAGAACAGGAAAGGAAAGTGCAGTACGACAATAAAAACTTCTTTGATGTTCCCTTTTAAATTTTTGTCTAATTATCTTTTTTCTTTTTTTTTTCTTTTTTTTGTTGTTTTTCCCCGTTGAGGGGAGCGGAGGAGAGTGGAGGGTATAGGAAATTGATGTATTTCTTTAACTTATGTGTTTTTTTTTTTTCCTTTTCTTCCATATTTCCAGAATGCATTCCATTGTGTATATGTGTACACTTTCACAGTCTTCATTAACTTCTCTATCATTATATATATATATATATATATATATATATATATATCACCTTTCTTTTCTTTTCTTCTCTTCATTTATGATCCCACCGGCCGTACATTCCCTTCTCCCACCAGTCGGCAGCTCCCATCGCATGGCTCACTCTGCATAGAAACTTCAGCGCTCTCATTACTGCTGCCAGTCGCCGTCGCCACACGTGCATGTCGCTCTACTGTGGCGATGGGTGCAACTTTATCAAATGACGGCTCTGCCGACGGGGACGTCACGGCGGCGGCATCTACACTACGCGATAACTCCACCACCAGCGGCATGCACGGTAGGCCGTCGGTCTGAAAGTGGCGCATCTGTTGCGGAAGCCGGCGCACACCCTCACAGTACTCTTTGAGTCGCATGTACTGATCAAAGTTTTCGGCATACCAGAATCCATGGCGATCCATCAGCACACGACAACGAAGTTTGTGAATTAAATGCCACACTTCATTTGTTCGCACAAGGGCAATAAATGATGTCTCAGACCGTGGCTCAATTCCAACAACTGTAGCAATGTCAGGGCCACATGTAGCCTCCACAACGCGATTCAATACAATTATAGTTCGATCCCGTAATTCACAAGGAAACATCTGAATAAAGACTGGTAAAACTTGTTCCCCAGGCTTCGTTGGATGTGAATCTGGTTGTTCATACTGTTTAAGAGCCGCAGAAAGGTTATAAGAGTAGTAAATGCAAGTTCCTTGTAAGCTACCGTGAACATTTGTACCAGAGCGTTGCCTTCCTACTGGTTGTCGGCGTTTTGTCAATTGAAGCCGGACGGAGTCGTAACTTGGTGGACTTCCCTTCGGCTGTGCCTTCTGACCAGCGACGGCATCACCGCATGCGTGGAGAGAAGGGGCTGCTGTGCCATTGTTAAGAGTTGCCTCCGTTGCTGGAAAAGCCGCGACAGGTTGCGGCGCGGAGGAGGGGAGTTGTGTTGCAAATGTTGGTAACATACCGGCGGGCGCTGCAGGCACGCCAGGCGCAGTCGTCGGTGCCGCTCCCACTGCAGTCGTCCCCGCAGCCGCCCCAGCGGCGGGATGCCACGGCGCACACATCACCGCTCCCATTGGCTGAGGCGCCCCTGGCATGGGTGTGTATGTCATTGCCCCATTCACTTCAACTCCTTGTTGAGGTTGAGTAAAAACGTAATAGGGAATCATTTGGGGGCCACCAGGAGGCATGCAAAGTGTTTGTGAAGGAGCAGGAGCAAACATAACAACATTGTTCCCGCCTTGAGCAGTTGTAAAAAAGGCGGGAACATTGCCTGGAATGGTTGTGGAAACTGGAGATCCTTGTGGATATGTCATGCCGTTATTATTGTTATTGTTGTTAGGCGGCATTGGTGTCGTCCCTACAGACATAAGCGAGGAGATGCTGAGCTGATTGTTCATTGGGGTATAAACTACTGGACATGCCATTGGTGCATTCGTGGCACCACCCTTAACTGATGTCACAGTAGATTGCGGCCGAGTTGAAGCAAATGATGATTGATACGTACTAGGAGTAAGTCCATGAGCCGTTTTAGAATCTGTTGTAAGACTTGTCTGATCATCATTCGGTGTCATTTGTGTGGGAACACATACGTGAGAGGGTGCTGCTTGTGAAGTGCCGTTGCTGTTACTTTTGTCATTGTTCTGATGATTTTGTTCGGCATGTAAATCAGTGCCCAACTCAGGAAGAGAAAAAACACTGGTTCCCCAAACATCATGCTGTTTATCCGCTGGTGTGGGAATAGTATCTGGAAACGGACTGGCATTAGCTTGCGAAGGTGTAACATCCTCATTGTACTGAAGAGAATTCGGATCACATAAGTCTTGGAAACACAGACCCTGAAACATACCTCTTGTCAATCCTAGCTGGACACCAAATTAACCTTTATTGTTTTTTT